AGATCAGCTGTGCCTGCTTGCAAGAGTTTATCACAATAGGGTCTGTGGACTGTGGCTATTCCCACCTAGAAGAAGGGAATGGGAAGGTTCTTGGACCCTCACCCAAGTACCTAGCCACTTTCCCCAGACATTTGGATGCAAATGTGCCCTAACTGTAGGTGGCCTCTTACATAGGCTAGGGAAGACTAGGGGCAGAGGGCTTCATCTATATAGCTATGGAGAAGTCATTGTTCATGCTAGGTAAGGACTTTCCAGTGCGATTGCTTTGGGGTCACCCTCTTTCCTGTCAGTAATCCCTTGCTCACACTCTGTAAATAAGCATAATAAACTCCTCGGGGAACTGTGATGGAATTTTACTTTGGTTTGTCCTTAGGACCTTAGGTGAAGTGGGTAGATGTTGTTCACTTCTCCTCCAGGGAAGGAGTTTTAGCTAGACGGGGATTCATGATTTCACAGCCAGGCTGCCTGCCTTGTGTTGGACACCTCCTGAGGCAGGAAGCAGGGCTTGCCTACTGTGAAAACGGGCTCCTCTCTAACCTCCACCATGCTGCCTCCTTCTCACAGCTACATCACCCTACCACCAGGAAATCTCCCAGAGAGCCATGCAATTCCCGAAACCAAAACCTTTTCCTCCGCTCCACTCCCAACATGCTCCCTTCTCCAATGTTCAGCTGGCTTCTTTCTGGTCATACCGTAGCCAGAGTCTTCTATGTGAAGCCCAGATTGAGTCCCACACTCTGTACAAGACCTGCCCAGGTTGGGAGAGGGACAGAGCCACCTTTCTCTGGTCTGCGATGCAGGAATTTAGGCTCCCAGTGGCTGAGTGACTTAGATCAAGACAAAAAGAGTGTTAGCAGCCCTACGCAGCAAGCCTGAATCAAGAAACACAGCAAAAGGCGAAAGTTAAATTTAACCTGTTTCAATACCAGGGTGAGTTTTTATCCCTGTGGTATGTGAAGTCCTATTTTGTGTGTGTGTGACATAGGAAACAGAAACAGCCTATTACACATTCCAGCATTCCAGGTCAGTCTCTGTCCAGCGAGGGTTGCATACCCTCTCAAGGGGCAGTTAAGAGTTCTTTTTCGATGATGCCAACCGCATGCATTTCCCCCAAGAGCCCACTTCTGAATAAGTCCAGGCACTGAATCCCTCCAGCAGCTACAGACCCACCCACCCTCTTGGGGGATGAGCTCAGCCTCCAGATAGGTGTAATAGAAGCTTGGGTGAACCAGAGTTTGAATCATAACAAATAGGGCTATAGTTCCCGTGAGTACAAGGATGGAGGGAGGCAGCTATCCAGCTTCTCAGGTGACCCCCCATCAGGATGTAGCTCTGCTTTCCTCCCTCCTCCAGGCAGACTCCAGAAGGCTGGGAGAGGATGGCTCCCCTGGGTTCAGCCCACCGTTCTGCCTTTTAAATCCTCTGAGCACTCCAGTCTGTCTCATACCACCCAGTTCCCAGGTCCCTGGACCCTTCCACCCCCATATTCAGCTGAAGCCCTTGATCTGGCCCTGGGGTCTATAAGGAAACACTAGTAGTGTAAGAGTGTAACACAGGAGCAGGCCCCAGACACGGCGGAGGGGGGAGGGGGAGGAGGATGGGGAGGAGGAGGAGGAGGAAGAGGAGGAAGAGGAAGAGGAGGAGGAGGAGGAGAATGGGCAGCCTGAGACCCCGCATGGCCCCACGTGCATGGTCCCATGACCCCCTGTGAGAAACCAGAATGTAAGGTACCTTCTTTCTTTCAAAGGGAGGTTTACCTTTAAAGTGTAAAATAGAGGCTTCAAGAGTCAACCGCAATCTAATCTGCATTTTCTTTATTTCCAGTTGTTCTTCCCAGCAGGGAGCATGTAGGTGCTCAGAGGCCCTGAATCCAGCTCCTAGGTTCCTAGGCTTACAGTTGTCTAAGATCAAAATATATATTCAAAGTTGAACGCTGCTTGCAACAGCTCCCTTTGTGCTTGTCACCTGAACAGTGTTTTGTTTTTTTTTGCCAATGTGTAAAAATATAAATGTAAGACATGAAATCATTTCTGTCAAAAACATTTTAAAATTACGTGCTTGCCTTTCTTTTCAGTGCCCTTGTTATAAAGCTAATATCTACCTTAATGTTATTTGATTCTTAACATGCCAATTGTAACTTATAGCTTTATAGTTTTGTTGGTTTTTTTTTTGTTTGTTTGTTTGTTTTGTTTTGGTCTTTTTAAGACAGGGTCTCCCTGTAGCCCCAGCTGTCCTGGAACTCACTATGTAGACCAGGCTGGCCTTGAACTCACAGAGATCCACCTGCCTCTTTCTCCCAAGTGCTGGGACTACAGGCATGCGCCACCATGCCGGCTATCATTTATTTTTTAGCCCACCCCACCCCCTTTACTTTTATGACTCTGGCTACGCACCAGGGCCCTCACACTCTACCTTTAGGACTCTGGCTATGTGTGGGAGCTCCATGTCCCTAAAATGTAAGAATTCTCCCTTACTCTTTAAACTAGTCAATCAGGTTTAGATTGTGCAGTTGACGGTCAACTAATGAGGGACAGCCAAGCTCTCTTTTATGTTTGGTATAAAAGGAAGAGGCCATCTTAAAGTGTTTGCTGGATTCAGAGCAGCCTGACAGCCTTCTGCAGAAGGAAGAACTTTTTGCCTTCCCCAAATGCTTTGTATATGTGGTCATTTTCTTGGGACCCCAGACCCATTTCTAATACATAATTCTCCATAAAGGCTTTGGATTCTCCAGCCTTTCTGCCCTCTACCTTTGGCCCAGTATTTATAGAGTCCTCTGTGAGCAAACTCAAGTCTAGAGAAGGTGAGCGACTGGGCCAAGGTCTTGCAGCATTTGGGGTCCCTTGAGGGCTTGAAGCTAGTGTTCCAAGCACACTGCCCTGTGTTAACTCCCAGGATGCTCGGGGGGTTTGTCCTACAGTCTGGTGAGCTGCTTCCTCAGCGCCTCTCTCGTTGCATAGGCAAGCCCAGCATGGTCTACTCCAGCCACAGGAATGAGTCAGTGCTCACACACATTCCCATCTCCAGATTCTGCACTCTGCCAGCAACGCTCTCCTCCATACCTCCAACTGTCCGCCACCCTCTCCTACTTCAGTAGCCAGTGCTGCATCCCTGCCCTGGAAGAGCTTATGTGGCCCTGGCTCATTGGACCTCCAGTCCTGCACCACAGCTTGCGCCGTCCTCCCTCTTGGCTGTTCTTGGACTCTACCCACAGTGCCCTAGGCACGCAGACCTGGACTTGGGGAAGCTCCCAGTGTGGGTGCCTTCTCATCACCCTGACTGCTCAGCCCCAGTCCCACTGCCTTATTTCTATCTCCAGACATGTTGGTTCTTTCTCACTGCCAGCCCCCTGTCTGAATTCATCATCTCACCCACTGAAAGGGATGCTTTACATCCAGCCGCTCCTTCCTACCCTTCAGATCTCAGCGTCATCCTCTCCCAGAGGCCTTTGCTGAGTGCCAGTGTGCTCACTATTTATCCCATGTACTGCTTATTTATAGTACAGCCCTGTTTTCTTACCACAACCTCATCTTAAGATCAGACTAGTTAAATCAAATCCTGCTCTACTTCTTGTTAGCTATGAGTCCCTGGGTGAGCTACACAGCACAGCCCTTCTGTGCCTCAGTTTCCTTACCTATGGGATGGGGATGATTATAATATCATAGACCAGTTATAAAGACCGAGTTAATGCACAGAAGGACTCAGAACAGTATCTGGTGTGTGGTAGACTGCATAGACAACTGTCAGGTCTCCGGATTACAAGGAATTATTCATTTCTTACCATTCCTTGAATGCAAGTTCTGGAAGGATGGGACCATTTCTGTCCTTCCAACACTACTTCCCCATGTGATCAGAATTCCAAGCAGAAAGTAAGTTGCCCTAAATATTTGTTGGTTGGTTGGTTGATTGGTTGGTCAGTTGATTGAATGGAAGGCAGGAAGATAGGAAGGGTTGGAGGGAGGGAGGGAGGGAGGGAAATGATGGAGGGGTAGATGGATGATAGATGGGTGGCTGGATGGAGGGAGGGGTAGTTGGATGATCAATGGATGGATGGATGGGATGAGGGGAGGGAGGGGCAGATGGATGATCAATGGATGGATATATGGATGGATGAAACAAAGAGGTAAGCATGTGCATAGGCCATCACTCCTCCTTGGTGTCCTATCTTTCTATACTTCTCCCTCCCATTCCAAGTAATAGCTAATATCGTTGAGACTCATCTACAACCAATTATATACTCATTGGTGCACTCAGTAGTGTATAAAATCAGCTAATTCCTGGCCAGGGGCCTAGGACCGGCTTAATGAAGAGAGAGGCAGCCTTAGTGGACAAAGGAGAACTACAACACAGAAGGCAGATCCAGTTTGGACAGGATAGAGGACATCTGACAAATGATATGGCAGACAGGGCTCAGATGCTAGGAGACCGAGGGTTCATACAGAGCAGGTGCTGTCCAAAGGGTGAGCTGCCTGGGGGATGATGCTGCCTGGTAGGGGTGCGAGCTGTCTGGAAAATGGTGTTGTCTGGGGTGGTGGTGTTGTATGAAGGCAGTGCTGCCTGGAGGGCAGTGTTGTCTGCGGGGGAGGGGGGGTGCTGTCTTAGAGGGATTGTGCTGTCTGAGGGGTGGGGCATACTGTTTGAAGGTTGATGCTATCTGTGTGGTGGTGCTATGGGTGGCAAGCAGAGGATCATGTGCACAGGCAAGTTGACTAGACTTGATGGCCCTGAGAGTCTGGCTAGGGAGTCAGTGATGAACACAGCACTGGGAGTTCAGACACATGGAGTGGCACCAGGCCTGCCCTTTAAGGACCCTTGGTATGTTCTATACAAGAACAAGCCAGGGGTCAGGCCAGGAGTAATGGCCACAGGAGGCTATGTAATCATTCAGGATAAAGTTTGGCCTGACTCAGCAGCTTAGGAACCACACTGTGCAAGGACCATTCCTGTTAAGTGCTGACAGCCCACAAAGATAGTGCTCCCAAGGGAGGCAGTTTTTCCCTTACCTGCACCAGATTCCAGCCCTGGAGGGACTCTGCAATGATGGATGTAACAGACGGGCAGACGCCTCCAAACACCATCAAGTGGTTCGGCCCATACTTTATTGCATCATAGAAGGCTTTCAATCCCTTTGCGTTGTCACACTGGGAAGAAACACGCAGAAAGAGAGGCCCAAATTAAACATAAGTTTTCCTGGACAAAAGCCCAAAAATGTGGCCACACAGCAACTTGTCATCACGAGAAACCCTTATACCTCAGTGTCCTGGGGTGGGGCCTCTCCATCCAGCCCCAAGATCAGGGAAATATGGTTTTGGTACCTTCATCCAGACCTTCTCTCCCTAAATACCCTCAAAACCCATCCCATTAGCCATCTCCCTGCACACACTGAAGAAAGCCCCCCGCTCAGTTGCCTCATCAAGGTCTCTCCTATCTATGGTCATTTACATTTTAAAAAACAAGTCCACACTCTTTAGGGTGGCTTCTGTAAAAACAGACAATAATAAGTGTTGGCAGAGATATGAAGAAACCAGAAGCTTTCTATTAACTGTGATGCAAAATGATTCCACTGAAGAAAACAGTATGCCCACCCCGAAAAGCCAACAAAGAATTACCATATGAGTACAATAATTCTACTTCTAGATGGATGCCCCAAAGAAGTGAGAGCAGGGACTCAAGGTATTTGTACCCCAGTCTCAGAGAAATATCAATCACAACAGACAAAATGGGAACATCTCAAAGTCTACCAACAGATGAATGCACAAACAACCTGCTGTATACACATACAATGAAGTATTATCCAGCCTTAAAGAGGGAAGAAATCCTGACACTAACGTGGATAAACCTTGAAGACATCATGCTAAGTAAAACACACAATAAATATTGTTGCCAAATTTGGGGTCACAATCTTCACCCCAAGAAGCCAAGTTCAACCATCTCTCCTTGAGAAAGAAGCTAATTAAAACATCCAAATTAATAGTCAAAAGCAGGAAAAGGAGATTTAGTCATTGTGGATACATTGGAAAGAGCGACAAAGAGATCCAGTGACTCTCAAGTCCATGTTCAGTGTTCTGAAGTGATATCAAAGTTTAAATAGATGTCTGGAGACAGGCACGTCTAAGCAGTCCCATCAAGGTGTGGTCCTGCCCAACACTGACCCATCACTGTCTGGACTTCAGTCTCATCCTACAAGATGGTTTGACAAGTTGCTAGAACTGCAAAATCTGTTTTCTGGGAGACAAGATTTTTTGCCAACTGTTGCAAGGCTCCTACCTTTCCCTCCTCCCAGCATGAGATTCCTGGGGAAATTCCCATTGCAGGGGGGGGGGTTCTCTTGTTTCAGTAGTCTGATAGATTTGGGGGTCACAAGTATCTCTTTAGAATACCTTCATTTCTTGAACAGCCAACCCCAATCTTAGTTGAAGAAATATTGGAAACTGATTACTACTAGGTGAAGAAGAGCTGATCTTCCTAAAACAAGGGACTCTAGATAGGCTGACTAGACCTCAGCGGATGCACTGAGGACACATGGGGACACGGACTTGACACAGTGGGCCTTAACACAGAACACAGAGTATACGGGTTCCAGCGTGTGTGTGGGGACTATGGGAGGGTGCCTGTGGGGACAGGGGTATAAAGATGATCAAGATTGCTTCAGCTATTCTGTATAAAATACACAAAAATTCAATTAAAAATTTTTTTTAAAAAGAGTATCTTCATTTCTGACAGGTTGATTACAATATTGTAAGAGTCCACTCATTTGAATTATCTAAAGTAAACAAGTTCATGAAGATAGAAACTAAAGAGATGGTTACCAGGGACTGGGAGGGGGGGTGTGAAGATCACTGATCAATATTCTGAGAATTTCAACATGATGACAAAGTCTAGAGATGGAGGTGGGGTGCTACATTACAGTGTGAGTGCATTTAATGCCACAAGACACTTAAAGATGTTTAAAATGGTCCACAGTGTGATATATAGTTATATAGTCAAAAACAAAAAGGGAAAAGAAGAAAGATGCTGTGCATCTACAGTGAAGAAATTTGACGAGGATCACTTATCAAGCACTGTCCTGTGCCCACAGAGTGGTTCCGGAGGGTACAGCCCTCAGGATTAGGAATGAAACCTGACCAAGGACACAGACCTTGGCACTCCAACTTGGAAATAGCAAGAGGAAAAATGTCCCCAAGTGATAGGAATCTCACAGTTCACTCTCCCCTTCCCCCCTCTCCCTCCTGCATCCCAGTCAGGAGGCCCAGGAGCCCTGCTTTCTACCCTGGAGCTCAGCTAAGTCCATCTTCTCGTCTGCCTGAATGTCCCCCAACAAACAAAAATTCCTTCTCAGCCTCCTGTCTTCCCTGCTCTTAAAGCTCCAAGTCCTATCGGAATCTCAAAAGGTAAAAAACACTCTTCCGTGGTCCCGCCTTCACCTCCCTTTGCTTCCTGGGCTGCAGAGCCTCCGGTGTCCTGATGCGAGCACCTTTCCTGGGTAAGCCCAGCGGGCCCGCCCCACCTTGACTCCCCCAGCCTCTTGACTCCCTCCCAGCTCCCCTGGGGCCTCTCTCCTCCTAGCCTGGATACCCGCCCATTTCTTGTCTTAGCACCACAGACACCAAGGCTAACCTCTCGCCAAGAGCCACCACTGCTTCCTGACTCTTTGCATCTAGACCAACCCAGTTCCTCCCTGTAGTCCCCAGGAGACCGAGGGGCCTCTTCCTGATCCCACTTCCCTTTGCATTCCTGGGTGGCAGAGCCACCAGCTTCCTGAGATCAGCATCTTTCCTGGGCCCTGCTCCCAAGCCAGCCCAGCCCAGCCCCCAAATTCCTGAGGGCAGCATATTTTCTGGAGGGATCCAGACCTTAGGAGAAAGCCTGAGAGCATCTGAGCCTCATCTCACTTGGGCCTCTGTGGGAACTCACAAAGACAAAAGCAATTAGGCCACTCCAATTTAAAATCAAAAGAGAGAACCTGAAACCTAGACCAACCAGCTTTTCATATCCAACAAGTAAACCACAAAGGCACATACAATTTACAAAAAGAAGCAGGCCTAAACTCAACAAAGGAAGGCTTGAGTCTCACACAAGAATCAGAAACTACGAAAGAAACTCACATGTCAAAGTCACAGAGAAAAAATAATAACATGAAAAACCAAAATATATCCCCACCAACTACCAATAGTCCTCCAGGGGAGTACAATGATAACTCCTTAGAGATAACACAGGACATGGAACTCAAAAGAACAATTATAAACATGATAAAAGAATTCAGTGAATTTAAAGAACACACAAACAAAGAAATCAAAGATCTGAAGGAAGATAGGAATAAACTTCTGAATGAATTCAGAAAAGAGTTACAAATATTGAAGAATACTTAGGCTGAAATGAAGAAAGAAGTGAAACATTCGGTAAGCCAATTAGAAACGACAGGAGAAAGCCTCACTAATAGGATGAATGAAATGGAAAACAGACTATCAAGACCGGAAGATAAAGTAGACGAATTAGACCACTCAAGCAAAGATTATGAAAAATTTAAGAAAACACAAGAATGGAATATGAAAGAATTGTGTGACACCATAAAAAAACAAACTTACGAATCATAGGCATACAGGAAGGAGAAGAATCTCAAGATAATGGTATAGAACAGAACTTCAACAGGATTGTAGAAGAAAATTTCCCCAAATTAAAGAAAGACATGCCCATACAAATACAAGAAGCATCTAGAACACTAAATAGACAGGACCAGAAAAGAAACTCTCCACTACACATCATAGTAAAAACACTAAACATTCAGAACAAAGAGACAATACTGAAAGCTGCAAAAGAAAAACAACAAGTCACATAGAAAGGAAAACCCATCAGGATTACAGCTGACTTTTCAGTGCAAACCGTGAAAGCCAGAAGAGCCTGGACCAAGGTATTCCTAGCTCTAAATGACCACAGATGCCAACCCAGACTACTTTACCCAGCCAAAAAGTCTATCATAGTTGAAGGGGAAAGAAAAATCTTCCATGACAAAAGTTGGCTGAAAAAATTCATGTCCACAAAACCAGCCCTTCAGTGTTCTTGACGCAATAAAGAGCTGAAGAAAGGAACGACCGCACACAAGGGGTGATGGAAAGAAAGTCAGTGAAGGTATAACTGTGGAAATGCACAGCTACATCAAGAATGTGAACAGAAATAATTTTTAAAATGAAGAATGAATCCAAGTTGAACTTTAAATATCAATGGACTGAATTCCCCAGTCAAAAGACACAGACTAGTTCAATGGATTAAGAAACAAAACCCATCTTTTTGTTGTCTGCAAGAAACTCATCTCACTTTCAAGGACAGGCACTACCTTAAGATGAAAGGATGGGAAAAATATATATACCAAGAAAATGGTACTGAGAAAAAAAGCAGGCGTTGCAATTCTAATATCTGATAAAATAGCCTTTAAACTGAAACTAATCAGAAGAGACAAAGAGGGTCACTTCATTCTGACCAAAGGAACAATAAACCAAGAAAATATTTCAATAATGAATATATATTCACCAAACTCTGGTGCACCCAACTTCATAAAAACAATACTACAGGACTTTAAGAACCAGATTAATCCCAATTCATTAATAGTAGGGGACATCAATACTCCACTGTCTCCTTTAGATAGGTCAACAGGGCAGAGAGTTAACAGAGAGACATCTGAATTAAACAATACCATATATCAAATGGACTTAA